AGAGCTGCCACAGTTTCAAAGATCACTATCCCGTAACTTGGAGCTCTTAAAATATGTTACGAAAGGACCATCCTCAGTGAAGAACAAGGTGAGTGAAGAACTTAAGATCAGATTTTTTATCTCACTTTAGACAGAATATAATGAGGATGATGCCTGTCATAATCTCTGGCTAAGTATTGATGTCCTCCATATTTGTACCAGAAACTCTCAGTGACTACAGAATCCGATCTTGCCATTTATAAAGACGAAAATAGCCATTGGTCGTTTCAAGGCTACGAGAGGATGGGAAAGTATTATTACAATATTACTTGTTTCAAAACATAATTTTGTATTGTATCCATTCATATTCGAATTTTAATTCTGTATTTGTGTGTTATGATGTTTTGTATCGCTATCGATAACTTCATTTACTTCTTTAGAAAGCATTTTGAGAACTCGGTATTTTTGTCCACGTATACATAATTCTGAGCACGTGCAATCGTATGCTTAGTCAAGTAAACAAAACAACCAAAACAACCTTTCATCTAGAAAATAAAAATGAAAAGTATAGTATAAATTATGATACTTAAAATTGCTATTTTATAATTAATTTGGTTCTTGGCATTTAAAGTAATATAATAAAAACTGAAGTTCTTGCGGAATGTATGCATAAAAGATTTGCAGATAGATATCTTTGTATTGCAAATTGTCCAGAATTATAGCGAAATGGATAAAGTTTTCTTTCGTATGAAACAGATGATTATATTTCATGTATGTTAGTGTCTCCTCTTATAGTTTATCCTACGCTTCTGAAGATGAAAACTATTGATTAGGAAAATATTTCGCGGATAATTTTGCTCATTCATCATATTCTTCTAACTTATTCAAGCAGTTTTCTAGCTTATACGATTCATTATGCATGCATGAGAATTTTCTTTCTGGTGCTGAAACTAAGGCCATAAATTTGTTCTGATTATGGTTGGGATTGATAAATTATTATAACAAAACACACGTTATTTATCTAATTTGAACTGAAACGTGATGTACATGGAAAATATTTCATGTTACACTTTGATACGTTTAAACACTGCCCTCAAGACATTAAGAGAGAAAGAAATTTCAGGCCTGTATGTTTAAGAAAAACATAACAGTAGCATTAAATTTGGTTTGTGTGTAACGAATACAAGCATTTAATTTTAATTTCTTGTTTATAAATAGATGACACTTGGAGAGAGCTTTTTCATTATTTATGAAAAGTGGTCCACTAGTGACTGAGTGGTGCCAATGAATATCGGTAGTTCGACCTGGGTGCAAATCCTGGCAAACAAGGCATTTTCATAGTTTATCCCTTGTTTAACGTAAATACGAGAGATTTTCCGCAGAAAGGTTTCCTCGGCCCTCACATAAATTAACATATTTGAGCTAGCCAACCGAGAAATGGAAGTAAAATCATTTTGTAAAATCATTTCATGTTGGAAAAATAAACACATTCTTCAAGTGAGTCTCTAAGAAGGAAATTTGAAAATAGTGAAAAATTAAGGAAAAATGCTTTGCCTCAGAAAACAAATGCTGGTTGAAAGTCGAAAATTAGATTTTTGTTTATATGACTACTTGTAGAGTCTATTAGGTCAGTCGAAGCAGGAAATAGGAAAAATGTTCAATGTCATCCGGACATTCCAACTGCCAACCAGGCGTGCTTTCCAGTAACACCACGGAGTACGCGGTAAGAAAGGAGAAAACAACCTTACACATTCAGAGCCGGGCAGAAGCCCGAAAGAAGTTACGATCGGCCGTTTGGAAATAGATATGGAGTCACATCAGACTTGGCAGTTCCAAAATTCCAGCATCAGGTTTTCCATCATCAGACTGCTTCAGCAGGTGTTTCCAAAATTTTGGCCTTTTAACCTGATCTTCAGTTTCAGTTGCAGAAAAACCGATTTCTTGCATTTTCGGTTAATTTCATGAATTTTTGCGTTAATATCTAGTTTGCTGATCTCCAAGAACCGGAAGATTTTCTTAGTATCATAATTTATAGAATCTCTACTACCAGGCAGATGATCATAGAACTTTTTTCTAAGAGGGCTCTTATTAAGAATGTCCGGGGCAGGCAAAACATGTAGCCTTAGGAAAGCGTTTTATCTGGAAGAAAGTTTTCTTCCTAATTTTCTGAATTTCATGTTGTGTCTTCGCAACTTTCGACCTTTACGCTAATTACTTATATGGTCTGCATTACAGTCCTTACTTTTAGCTTAGATTTTTGGAGGAAAAGGTAGCATACGAGACATGATTTGTGCGCATTTTAAACGGTGAAGTTAGTTGAAATGGCTCGGTTGGTCATGTCTGTATTACTAATGTAGTTATCCCTATCTTTCAAAACTACAAACATTGCAAAATTTAATAAACATTCAGCCTAATCTAAAATACTAAAATATAAATATCAATGCATATTCAAAGGAAAATTTAAATGTTTAACATTCGAGCCAGGAACCGGACTTTCTCGACTATTGAACAAATGCAAATAAGAGTCTGTCTTGTGGTTACGTACACAAATGAACTACCAGTAGCTTCTAACATGACAATTTAAACCACTATATCTGAGCTTAATAATATATTTGTTTAAACTGACAGTTTTTATTAAATACCATAACCATTATAAGCCATAATCAAATATTGGTTTTATTCCCCAAGGAAATATATAGATTTTAAGGATGAATGCAACTGATAAATTTTACAACAAAGAGCGAATTTCTGAAACAGGTAATGTATAATACAACATTCTGGTATTGCTGTTTGCTGTTTATAATATTCCTTAATATTATGTTATAATATACCTCACAGTTGAACTTGTTAAACTTTTGTGTTTTCTTTCTGTCGTTTCAATGCTTCTAAACGTTCATATGCTACATGAATATACAAACTACTTACTAAGAAGTCGGTGGAAGAACATGTATTTTGTTTCCGCTAGAGCTGATTTTTTTAAAATTGTTTTCTTTGAATTGCTGTAGGGTTATTTATACCGAATTAAAAGACGATTTAGATGAGAAAACTCTAGATAAATCAATTCTTTCCAGTCTCTGGATGTTTTTACTTGGGTTATAAAAAAATTACTTATCAACTCATGTCCAAATGTTTAATAATAAACAGGTTATATACTACAGTTTGTTAAGACAAGCTAGATAAAACATCAAATGCAATACAAGGGTAAATAATACAACTATACGTTATACTTTGCAACGCTTTTACATTCTATTCTTCTGGGAAAAGTGAAAAGTTTGATTTAACAAAAATCATGTGCGAGCAAAAATACTAAAAAATTTCAAAACGAACTTTAATAGGAAATATGTTCATGTTTGAAAAACTACAAGCTGGTCTTGTCGTTTACATACTCTTAATTCATTCAATAGATATTTCAATAAAAAGCAAAGCTCGTTCATATATTAATTTGCATTCAATAATTCATTCAAAAATTCTGTAGCTACGTACCTTCCTAGGCTGCTCCATAAATTATTAATCGGATTCAGGTTTGATTTCGCAATCTCTAAAATATTGGTTGACTATATCTGTAATGTAAAGTAGGCATTTGCATTCATTAAAACAAAATGAATCTTCTTCTGTGGTATCAAATGCTCTCACTTGGTTATCACAGACTTAGCTCCACTAACTTAGAAGCGCTAAGTGAGTATGTTGAGGTCAGTGAGTGACGCGAAAGAAATTTCTGCACAAATCAAGTTATTCTCACTTTTGTTAGCGACTTCAAGAATGTTGGATTAGTCACATTGTGTTTTTCCCTGCTTTTCATTTCATAGCATGCCGTGAGGCATAGTGTAGGGTAAACCCGGCAGTATCTGTAAATATTACTGAGATCCCCTATTTTCTTCTGCAAGTGAAAAGTGCTTTTACGCAAAGTAGTCGAGGTGCCCGTGCAAATGAATCAATGTATAAATGAATGTTTTCTTGTATAAATGAATCAGTCAGCTCACAAAGATCGTCCGGCAAACAACTCACATACACGAATTTGTTTCCTTACAGTTCAAATAAGTTATGCCTTTCTGTTACAAAATAATCGATAGTAAATTAACATACAGCTGAGACTGTTCTGGCCCGAAGGACCAGAAGGCTAAGGAAACATTTTCCCAAATCAGTGTATTTGTGTATGAACACCTTCGGGTCTCTGATGCTTTAAACTCGAGTCTCTAATGCTCTAAACTTAAACACCTAATAAAATTATTATAATCTGCGTTTAATCGAATGCTTGAATTCAAACATCACTTTTCCAAAAACATTTTAGTTTATTTTCTATTTGTTTGCTTTTAAATTACAGATGAGAAACTATTCGTTCTTGATTTGTTCCCCAGATTTTTGTTTGTATTTAATAGTTTTTGAACCGTGTAAACAGTAAATTAATTTTATTACTGATTTTATTCTTGCCCAGATTTCATTTAGAATTACAATTTGATCTTAGTTGAAGAAACTTCCAGTCGTCTCCAAAAAACGATTGGCTAGCTTTAAGTAAACGATTAGTTGATGTCAAGGTGTAAAAGTTAAATACATGGAAACTATGTTAGGAGATTATGAGGATCTTAGAGAGGAAAGGAGACAGATTTTTAATATTGACTTTCATCTTATGGGGAAGTATTTAAGTCTGAATTTTTTAAAGTAGATCTGTAAACCTTTAGGGTAGATCGAATTATCTGCAGCAAAATGTAGATCAGAACATATTAAATTAGTGCAGAGTAAACTTAAAATGAATACATCGAGTATTGTTAGACACATTTTCAGCTTTAATAAATTGGTTTCTGTCAGAATTTCCAGTCAGAAAATGGAGCAAATACAACGATTTAATAGATATTTCTATATGAAAATATTGCAATATGAAATTGTCCCTTTTTAAGTCTAATGCTTATTTCTACATTCACTACTATTTTCTTTTTTGGAATATTACTGCGCAAATTTGCTAAGTAATGAAATATTGTGCGTTATTTGAGTATATTAATCGTTATTACAAGACATTTTTCTTTCAGAATTCCATTTTGCTGTTGCTGTTTATTTCCTTTTTCATACAACCACAAAGCGGACTAGCCTTTCTAGGCTTAGGCTACACACATTTGGAAGACTGGCAGGGTTATGCAAGCTACGAAGAATACCTGAGGCATCATTTCGGTATATATTCAAAAGAATATTTGGAAAGATTGAGCAGTGGCAATCACAATGGAGAAGATTTCCACATTTCCAATTTGAACATTCCGACCGTTGAACACAATCTTCATAAAAAATCTAAACTACGAGGTGGTATCTTCCGCAGGCTTTTCCGAGGACATCATCGGAACATGGGTGGAGGCATCAGAAGCTGGTTTGCACCGACGACTCAAGCGCCTGCAATGAAAAAAAATGTTACTGATAGTATGGCTAAAGTTCCACGAATGACAGCACCGTCAACGAAACCCATGATAACAACAACGAAAATACCTTTTATGATGAAACATGCAGGAAATATGATGAAAGATTCACAGCTACCAGTGGTTCAAGTTTATGTTATTACAAGTGGAAACGGAAAGAGCCGTACAAGTATAGGAGGACATCACCACATATCAACTCAACCTACTTATGGATGGCTTCAAAATACATACAAAGGTATCTCCCACCTTTCCTTTTCTGGAGATCCAGAAATTTTCAAAAGAGGTTATATAGCCACAAAGCAGTCTGATGACTACAGACCTCTTCGTATTTCTCCTCGAGGTGGTAGGATTAATAAAGGATCACATGTGAGTTTTGGACCAGGATTTAATGCGCAGGAACATGGTACTGATTGCTATCATTTTCACACTAGGCAAGAGGCAAAAAATAATAATTTTAAGAGAGTACATGAAAATTCTCATTTCAGTTTACATCCAGGTGAAATCAACTTTCATCATACCTCTATGTGAAAAAAATGATATCTCATGAGAGAGCTTTATCGTGTGATTATTACAATGTGCAATTATTATGGTAGCAAGAATGAGGATTATTTTTAATATTCGTCTGATTCTTAGATAGGATTCTTGGACTTTTATAATTTAAAAATCTTTACTTCTATGATGTAAATAGCAAAAGAAAGGTTTGCGGAAAATATTTATTAATTTTATAATGAAATATAAAACACCACAGTGTAACACGAATTTGTGTAAATGCACACAATTTGTATATAATTATAAAATGTTTTAATAAAAATAGTTTGTTTTTATTTGTCAATGGAACGGTAGACTACTGCAATATCTGAATTTGGCAACTGCTGTAGTACTGGCATTGAAGTAATTTAATTTTTGTATTTCTACTTTCTGGAATGTAGCTGCAAGTTTTGTAATAGATCATTACCACTTTATTGAAACTAAATGGGACGAAACCATTTTAGATTGATAACTCGTCTTTCGATCTAATCCATGGGGAGTACTTTCTGAGTACCTAAAATAAAACAAATATACCTAATATTGTTATAACACGTGTTCAAATCTATGTCGTTTAAAATAAAGAGTCTATCTGAATTTTTCCCGTAAGCATACAAGTAATTACGTCATGTTTTTGTTTTGTTGAGCAGTTAGTACAGGTTCATCTCTTTGTACAAAACATGTAACAAACTGAGAAAAAAGGCAATTACTCTTGTTGATTTATACTACACTATTACACTAATACTTGAACTTTAAAGAATCAAAAAAATCTTAGTCATTAATAGAGCAAGGGGGAATTTGTAAACAACTTTGTTCAGGTTTGAAAGTGATCCAAGCTTTCAAGGGATCTTTTAACTTCATTCTACAAATGCTGCATAGGAATGAGAATAGGATACTGGTCTGACCATGGAAATAGCTTGAACTCAGAATCATACTCTTCAAACGAACAATCTTGCACGGTGAAACAAGAGCACGGTCTTGTTAAAAGTGACCATCTTTATTAGGAGTATAGGAGCTCTAAACGAGTGCGCAATGATCGGTAACAATATTGACGTAAACTGTACTCAAAGATGTTTCCAGGTATATCCAGGGACCCACTATACTCCAGGAAAATATTCCTCAGACAATAATTCAAGGGCTATCAGTTTCAAGCTTTGCCATCAGGTATCAGAAATGTCTACGCAATCGTTGTATTTTCTCCATTTTCTGACTTTGCATGACACGATGTAGCACGAAACGGTATTCATCAGACCAACCATCTTTTTAAAATCATCAGGGTCTTAAGTTTGGTACTTTTTGGTTTATAGCAATCGTAATTTTCTGTTTTTCAGTGAGTGCATAGGTATTCTTGAGCGTCATCTACTGTTAAAACCCTTCCGCTGCAAAATATGTCTTTTTTGAGTTGGAATACGCTTTGTGATACACTTGAATTGTATTCAGCAACAATTTGTTATACTGGCCCCTTTTTCTTATTACAGACGGTTTATGCCATCCTCCTTTATCTCTTTAATTCACCAGCAGTTTCCGACCAGAACTGTCTTTATTGCTTGAACTTGTTTTGATCAGTTGTCCCGTTCTAAGCACCAAAATGCTGTTGGGCGAGGAAAACCTAACCGAGTCCTCTTGCACTCACGACCTTGCTTTTTCAAAGTCACCCAAATTTTTCGTCTTACCAATTTTTACACTATCCATAGTGACAACTATGTCTTCTCGAGATGACTATGTCTTATACAAGCAATTCATGGCTGTTCACTGTGTGTCACCGGTCCATGTTAAATAATGGGAATAAAATATTTTGGCCACTCAGTGTAAGCAGACAGTATGCACCAACGTTATATATATATATGTGTGTGTAGGTAACATACAGCTTACATAGCTAGCTATATATTTATTCTTCTGTCGGCATGATTTACATTTGCAAAGAACTTGACACACCTGTTTAACAGCTAAATAGACTTAACATATCACTGAACCGGTGAATAAAACGACGTATCTTTGAATCTTTTAAAAATATGATAGCTTTTCTGAAGCTTAGCTCCAATCCCATTATAAATTCATTCACAGCTTGCATCAAGTATAATGATACCTCTGATGGAAAGTCACTCGAAAATACAGATAATTAATAAGTAAAAAATATTTTTTTCCAGAAAAAAACTTTGAATAACAACAGGATGAATTCACGGTTTTGAACAAACAGATATTCCTTGAATCTTACTATATTTCACACTATTTATATCATATTATGCCAGCTACTTTGATCCTTGTTGAATAGTTATGTCCAAAACATAAGCGAAGATAAAAAAACAAAATATCCTCAATGCAGAATATGTTACATAATAAAGTACTGATAATATTAGATATTATGTGCTAGCGATTTGAATAAGAATTTTTATTGTTTATTTTCCTGAAACAATGCGCTTTTCTTATTATTATAAAACAATCAATCATATCATTTTGAATTATGAAGTCACCAAGTGCATATAAATGATCGTAAATTTTCGAGTTAACGATTCAAGAACTCTCAAGAGAGACGTTTAGATATAAATGATGGCAAATTTGGAAAACTTAAGCACAAAAGAGAAAAGAACAAGTAAGCATCATCAACAAGCAAAAAATACAGTAGGTTTCAGGAAAAAATTTATTTTCACTGCAGTCACTCATTACGAAGATCAACTGAAATACCGTAAAACGAAATTTTGAAATTTTACTCTGAATGGAGGATAAAGTTATTGTGCGTAATTTTACCTCCCTTTCAAAATAAACAGTCATAAGTAAAGTTAATCACATAATTTTATTAAATTCTTAAAATGCCGAAGAAACATATAAGAATGAAGACAAAATCTTCATTTATTACGATAAGCCCTTCGTTTATAAAAGTCTTTATTTAATTGTGGACTTAAAAAATCACAAGCGGATTTGATTGATTGCTTGTTCAATTATGGCAAAGCACACGAGGGCTATCTGCCTAAAGGGAAGGATGCCTTCATGGAGGACTTTCTAAGGGAACTGGCTCGTATACACATTACACATAGAGAAAACCACGAAAACGCCCATGCAGGCAGCCCGTTCGCGGGATTCGAACCTAGGATCGAACTACCAGTGCTCAGTGTCTTTACCGCTCGGCCGCTGGTGGGCAAATCACAAGCGGAAAAGCCACAAGCTAAAACAGCCCCTCAGCGGACGAGCGTAAAATCGCTGAACACCGGTACTTCTATCCGAGGTTCAAATCCCACGAATGGGCTGGCTGCATGGGTCTTTTCGTAGTTTCCCCATGTATAGCGTGTATAGGAGTCAGTTTCTCTTCTGTATCTGTATCTATATCAATCTTGCTTTTTAAGCAAGAAGGAAGGAGATGAGGACTTTGGCGAACGCCGTTTCCTCCAATCCGTGAAGGTTAATATTGAAATCAACAACAAGCATTTTTAGAACATTTTATTAAACATTTACAAACATCCATGCCTTCTCCAGGATTCGAACCCGGACCCTTCGGCACGGCAATCAGCAACGCTAACCACTATACCGGTTGGGTAGCCAGTTTCTCTTAGAAAGTTCTTCACGAAGGCAGATAGCCCTCGAGGCATTGCCGCAATCATATAAAACAAACGAAACAAGCTGAAACAGGAAGTAAAGTAATAATAGGTTTACCTTTCCACGATGTTTTTTGTTATAAATACATCTGTGTTAGAAACATTTTTCTGAGTGCCACCAGAAGGCGAAATATTTAAAACCTCAAACAGAAAGTAACAATTTATGGCAAAAATATTTGTGAATTATATTTTCAACTGTGATTACCTGCAAATTAACAATTGTATTTCTTAACCTTCTGAAAGAATGCCATTTTTCTGCAAAAGAGTGTCCCTTAAAGTCAACATTTTAAGTTATCTTTTAAGTTCCAAGTTTTGCACGTAACCGAGTCACAGCAGTTCTTCGATTTTTTTAAGCCGAAATAGATTGTTGTATACTTCGGGAGAAGATTAGTGCAAAAAGGTAGATTACAGGTAAATTTGAAGAAGAACAGGTAGTGCTTCATTTTTTAATGTATCACGAAATCCTTATTTAATATTTAAAAATTGTATTTTAAATTGCTAAAGTATATTTTATTTTCATATGTTGATAATGTTTACCGACTTACGATAAACACCGATAGTTTAGGAATCTTTCTAAAAAAAGGCTCGAAAACCACAACTTTCACCCTAAAAGTAACTTCTATACTTTCATCTGTAAAACATAGCCAAACTGCGCCAAGTTGGTTGTGTTAAAGTACCGAAAATTGTATCGTAAGTACCGTGGATATAATTGCACATCCAGTATTTAATGTTACTTGTTAAAGTAAAATGAAGTTTCTGACGAAGTCCAGTGGTGTTCGAATAATTCTTAAGAATGCGATAATAAGTGATGCTTCTTTCGAATTTAATGGCCGACAGGATTATGAGTCGTCACTTTTCTTCAATTCAGTATGTAACATTTTTTTCAGCCTTACTTATTTCAAAAGTAGTATTTAATGTAACATTTAGTAAAAGTATCTTACTATAAGATATATGTACTAATAATATTACGAATGGCATGCTACAGTTAACTGTGAAATAAGCCCTTAAAAGTTTCTTACAAATTTCCAATACGATATTCTAAGATCTAAGAACTTGTAACTTTATTGACAAAGAGTATATGACACCCCATACTTGTTTGTTCTTGTAGTGAAAGGCTTTATTATTATTTATTTTAAAGTCCTATAAAATATTTCAAAATTTTACATAATATAAATTGTGAGACCACCAAATTTTATAACACTAAAATAAATATAGACTTATTAAATAGCTTTTACATATAGCAAAAACATTCAGTGTATCCACCTATGCTGATATAGCATACATCTGCGTATCAAAGATAGAAGTTACCTTGGGGTACTGGAAAGCTGGTTGATGCCACAGTTGAAAGGGAACAGTAATGATTACGTTTTCAAACAGACTGTTGTCCGGTTCACTACGTTAGAGACCAATTCGCGAGAAAATTTCTCTCAGACTTATATAGGAGGACACAACATAGGAAGACAGGACGCTCACGAATAAGAAGTGACTCATTAACGTGGTGTGCTATCTGATCTCAGGATTTAATTCCATTTAAATTTGTCTCGTTAGGTGTTTATCAACGGCAATGTTTTTGTGCGTTCATTGCCAACTAATCTCAAAGTACTTCGCAAATGTATCAACTATGCTGTGGTTGTGGTCGACTGGGGTATTCT